GGTAACATATCTAAAACGATATTCTACAATCGTTATAGAAAAATATAGAGCATTATTCTGCAAAATTCGTTTTATATAATTAATTCAGAATACGAAAGTTGAAAATGTTTTCGAAATTTTGTTCTCTTTTTATTGTATACCTAACAGTTTTAAGTAATGTTTGCATACTTTTTTAAAATTCAGTGTTGTTTAACAATTGTTTTTTAAATTATAAATTTATTCTAAATTTTTTCAAATAAAAACAACAAAAATTCTTTACAGTTTTTGTAGAAATTACAAATATGTGACATGAAATGAATTCAAACTTTGAATATGAATGTTTCAATGCAATTATTTACTATATTACTATTTATTTATTAATTTCTATATTCACACAATTTTACTTTAAAAATTATTGTAAAGCATGTTTTGTTATTAAATTTACGCGCGCTTTAGCGCGCGTAGACAGCTAGTTGTATATTATTTTTCATTAATTTTTAGAAATTTCAGCTAAAATGTGAATTTTGGATTTTTTAACTTCCATTAGTTCTTTAAATTTAACTCAAATGTATAGGTACTCAAATGTTTATATTATTATATTATTTTTGTATGTTTATTTCAATGTTAATGCTTTCTCCACGAGGAAGCAAATTGAAGCAAAATGTTCATGTAATAAACATCTGAATTTACAACTTTTTTATTTAATTTCATAAATGGTCTTACAAAAGAATATGAATCTTTGTTACTTCGTACTAAAAAGCACTATAAAAATTAAGTAACTACACGAAATTAAATTAAATTAGGTAAACATCCAATTTTGTAATACGATAAATGCAATAAAAAATACATAAAAAAGTAAAAATTAATTTATTGTAAATTAAATAAAATAACAGTTTATATAGGGTCAGTTGGGGTAAATGGGGGGGACAAGAGGTGTTAAAGCTTAATTTACAATTTAAAAATTAAGTTACAGGTTAATATTTTAACCTCAGATCAGCTAAAAGAGGTTCTGAGTATTGCCAAGCTTTTATCTTGATAATTGGCAGGAAGATAATTCAAATTATCGCTCAATGTATAAAAACTTCAAAATCAAATTGAAACTGTTTTAGTATTTTGTCTCGCTTTTGAAAAAACAGACTTAAAAATCATACAAAAATTTTTTCTCATTCCTTATGACTCCCGATATAGAAATTCATTTGATTTTTTCATTTTTGTCAATTCGGTGAATAAGAACAAGCTGTCGATGATTAGATCTAAATTATTAATGGATATACTTCCGAAGTAGGGGTACCTCCGATTTCAATAAAACTTGGTATACTAACGTATTTTGGTGCGCTGATTACGAAAATGATAGTGAAAATTGGCGCAAATTTGATTATCATGTTAAAAACCATAAAAAACACCATAAAATCATGGTTTTTTTACGATTATCTCGTAAAAAACAAAAAATTTCGTAAAAAGTTGTAGATCTCAAAAAAACACACATTTTATGTTTTATGCATTTTTTACCAAAGGCATTATTTTTCGAGAAAAATGGTCCGAAAGTAATTTGCGGAAATTGTGGGGTGGAGTCTACAGCAGCGGTAAATACAAAATAGTAAACACGGCCTTCTGCCGCGTAAGGTACTGCTCGCTTCTCTTTTTAAGAAATCTTGGCGAGAGGGGGTGGATGTGTCCGAAAGTAATTTGCGGAAATTGTGGGGTGGAGTCTACAGCAGCGGTAAACGCAAAATAGGAAACATGGCCTTCGTACGGGTAAGGTACTGCTCGCTTTTCTTATTAAAAAAACCTTGGCGAGAGGGGGTGGATATGGCCGAAAGTATTTTGCGGAATTCGTTGGATCCTGAGTAATGGTGAAAATGAGTCAAATAATATGTCTAACCTTGACTGCTGTATATGTTTTCATTATCATGGTGTTTTTCGTTTTTTGGATTTTTCTCGAAAATAATTACTTTTTGTAAAAAATGCATAAAACATAAAATGTGTGTTTTTTTGAGATCTACAACTTTTGTCTAAAACTTTTTTCGAAATTTTTTGTTTTTTACGAGATAATCGTAAAAAACCACGATTTTATGATGTTTTTTATGGTTGTTACCATGATAATCAAATTTGCGCCAATTTTCACTATCATTTTCGTAATCAGCGTGCCAAAATACGTTAGTATACCAAGTTTTATTAAGATCGGAGGTACCCCTACTTCGGAAGTACACTCTTATTAATAATTGGAAAATTTGGCTTTGAAATGAGTGCTTTGGTCGATAAAGAGTGATATTTAATTGCGCCAATTTTTCTGCATTAACATCCTTTAAACCTGTTCAAGAAGAAAAATATTAGATGTAATGAAAATTGTTTTATAAAAGTTAAATTTTCTAAAAATAAAAAAAAATTTAATTAATATATATAAATTTAAAGAAATTAATATAAATAAATTTAAAGAAATTAATATAAATAAATAAATTAAAAAAACTTAATAAATGTTTTTTAATTAAAATTGAATACCTTTTGATAAATGTTAAATAAATTATCAATAAAAATCTCACTTCTTGTATTAATTCCTAAAAAAGCATTTTATAATTAAAAAATTTTATATTATAGGGGAATAGTGTCAGGGTTGGACACAGTTTTGGTTTTTTGTTTATAAATATTTTGTTTAGATAAATTCAGTCAATTGTGGTATATGGGTGGAAAGATCTACAAAAGAGGAACACTTTTGCTGTGGACCGTAAATTGATTGGTCCAAAATTAAAAAAGTTATAAACATTTAAAAAAAAAAAAAAATCTAGTCAGGGTTGGACTTTTCAGTCAGGGTTGGACACTTTTTGAAAATCGAAACGCATTATTGGTAAAAACGTAAAATAACATTTGTAATGTTTTTTATTCTTATTTTTTCATGTTTATCTTTACTTATTGTTTACAAATTGTAAAGCTTCATGGGTTTAAAAAAGGAATGAACTCAAATTATAAAAAATAACGCTTTATTGTTCCAAATAACTCAATGAAATGATGAACAAAATTTATACAATTTAAGTATTATTTTTCTAATATCTTTGGCACAATTTTGCACTGAAATATCAATAAAATAAAATTTATTTATAAATTGTGTCAAATTCATAATTAATATGGGTGTCCAACCCTAACTGTATAAAGTGTCCAACCCTAACTAGAAGCATCATTTTCGAATTGTGCTAACCATAACTAGACATGTGTCGCGATTCGATTTTTCACTTTTTTTCTTCTTAAATTATGTACCCCACAATACATTCAATAAGCTTATCTTGCCGAATTCGTGTTTTTTTTACACATTTTTTAGGTTTATTCACAAGTCAAACAAAACTTTTTTTGTCTCTTCGATTGCACCGAAGTCACAAGAGACGCTACTTTTGATTCTCCAAAAATGTAATGCCACAAAAAGTTAGGTTATACTACTAGAAGATTCGTCACGTACGCACACAGGTGGCGCTAGTGTTCTTATTTAAAAAAAGCCAAGTGTCCAACCCTGACAAGTGTCCAACCCTGACACTATTCCCCTACTAATATAAAATAATAATAATTTATATAATATTAACTATTATAATTGAATAATATAATTTTTAAATAAATAAAAAAGATACTTCTGATGATATTGTTTTGATATTTCTAACCTACACTATTTTCAGCATTTGCATAAATATTATTTATACTTATCTTTTAGCTTAATTAATTAATTGTCGACACAACCGCCTTTTAACACATAATTAATTTCCTTCCTCTGTCACATATAATTATTTTAAACTTTGAAAGTATATTTCAGTTTCATTAAATAGATAAACAAACAAACGTATTTATTTTCATAACGATGACCAACGATGACATCGCAAAATACATGACAGTTATCTAATCATAGAATATGAAATTAAAAGTTTCACAACAAATTTTCAATTTTTAGGAGCAACTTCAGGGGGATGGCATTTGCACGTTCTACTGTACAAGCACAGGCGGAACTTCCGGATTCTCTTCAGCATGCCTTTTGAGTGGATTTTTCAAATTTTCCGCCTCTGGTTCTTCACAATTTGGTGGATAAGAATGAGAAGATTTTTGAGGACTTTTGACAACTACTATTTCTTCTCTCTTGTAAATAGTGATAACAAACGCTTGACATTCATAATGACGACTTTTGTTAATTTTATTCTGAGAATAAATATATTCATTAATTTAGTCAAGATGTTAGTTGTTTTTGGTAAAAATCCACATTTTATTTTTAAAATTCTTATTAAATGAGCTTTCGCCCGTCAAAGTTGGGCCTTATCAGATTTAAATACCGAAATTAAATTTACATTTTTTGAGTTTGTTATAAAAATAAAATTTTATTAAATTGATAAACATAACCTCAAACTCACCAATATGGATTTCCACTCTCATTTAATAATTTTAAATAAAAAAATAATTAAAAATTGTAATAGAAAAATAATTTTACCAAAAAGGGAGTCCTTCCGTGAAACCAAACATAATTCAAGTTATGTTGTATGATGTATATGTGTCGATATGTGTTCTACAAATTTAATGTCTTTTAAACTTATATTAGTTCGTTGAAACACGTCTCTACGACACATAAACATCATACAACATAACTTGAATTATGTTTGGTTTCACGGAAGCACTCCCTTTTTGGGAAAATTATTTTTCTATTACAATTTTTAATTAGTTTTTTATTTAAAATTATAAAATGAAAGTGGAAATCCATATTGGTGAGTTTGAGGTTATGTTTATCAATTTAATTAAATTTTATATGTATAACAAACTCAAATATGTATATTTTATTTCAGTATTTAAATCTGATGAGGCCCGACGTTGACGGGCGAAAGCTCATTTAATAAGAATTTTAAAAATATTTTCATTAATTATTATTAACTGTTTACCGACAACTTTTAAAACTAAATCCATAATGTAACTTAATAAAATACTGAAAATTTAGAACAAAAAATATGTAGGTACGCAAAAAATTTAAAACGAATACATTTTTGAGGTTGTCAAATACACTGGAGTCAACTGTTAATTTTCTTTTATTTAAAACATTGCATTGTAATCAGAATATATAAAAGTGAAATTTCATGGGGTGAAAAATTCCTGGCGACAAGCATAACTAGCGAATGTGCTATTGTCGCTGTAATTAAATAAATACACTATTTATGTATTATAATGTTTAAAAATTTATGTAATTTTGTTTTTCATCTTTTGGCTCAGAAAAAATTACAATTTTTAACCATTTTTTAGAAGTGTATTTCGCCGGTGCGGTAATACAATTGTCTGTAAGTTCTTTAAAAAAGGCCCTACAAACTTCGTAAATAATATTACTCGTTGTACTAATTACTGATACGACATTGATGTTATCGAGTCACCGGAAGCAGAAACCTATATATGTATATGTTAGGCTCAAAGACCGAAAACGCTCATTGAGCAAAAACATCGACCATAACGCGTTGTGGCTCCTTCGATTCGACCACAACACGAAATTCGTGTTATAGCATAAGAAAAAATGCTCTAAACGCGTTGTGGAAATTGAAAAAGGGCCACAACGCGAAATTCGCTTTCTGGATGTTATAATATTCTACCACAACGCGTTATGGTAATTAATGAATGCCACAACGCGTTCTGGCTTTTTTGATATTTGACCATTACGCGTTTTAATAATCACAGCATATTTTGTTATTTATAAACAACCTGTTCGTTAATTACCTATTTCATGCTTTGATACTTAATTGATTAATTTTCTCTTATAAGTATGTCAATAACTTCAACGATTATATTATAGTTCAAAATAAATTCAATAAAATGTAGTAGAAGTAAAATCTGTTGGTTCGAAAGATTCGAAAATACGATATTTTTGCGAGGCCTGTGACCTTTTTGACATTTGCAAACTACACATTTGAACGTGGGTCAGAAGGACTGCGATTTATTCAAAGTAAAAAAAAACCGTTCTCTACATGCAGTGATGAAAACAAGTCCCTATCAGGACATGTTTGGAACATCACAAAAAATAGGACTAGCGGATTCTTCCCTTCCAGCTGACATATAAGCGTCTGTAGAAACAGAAAAAGAACTGGAACTACTTTTGTCTTCCATAAATCGACATAAGGAAGTTCCACATAATTTAGAAAATGAAGGTGGCGATGTAAATTCTAAACAAAGCGTCATTTGTGAAAAAGAGACCTCTGGAGCTCATAAGTGCTCTGATTGCAATGGATATGTTTTCGCTCAATGAGCGTATTCGGTTTTTAAGCCTAACGTATATATTTAAAATAGCTATTTTCCAAAAAATTATGAATTTAAAATGAGTTTCTTTAATGAGATTAAAAAATTTTTGTATATTAACTATGCACTATCGCATAGTATTATTTATTAAATTTAATTATGAATTAATTCAATTAAAATTTTTAAATTTATTTAATAATTTCTACATATACACAACGGATCATATTTGACAAATTTTAAAATCGTTTATTTCGAATTCATAAAAATTTCCACATAGCACGACTTTTTGCTGTGAGGTTACTGTAAGGATATATATGTAGGGTTTGTAACGTTACCATGTAAGCCTACAGTAAACTCGAGGTCATCTTAAAACTTCCGCCATTACAGTAAGCTTACACAGTAAAGCTAAGGTAAGTTTATATTAAAGTTTACATTAGCATTAAATTTTACAGTCAAAAAGAGAAAAAGGAGACCTAAAGGTCATAATTAAACATTGAGCAGCTAATATAAGCTCTCGCAGGACGAATTTCTTGAGAATCTCTGGAACAATTAATTAGAGCAAACTTTCTAAATTTGTTGCAGCCATCCTTAAATAATTGTGGAACCTCAAATCATCCAAATGAAGTGTTTTTCTTTTTTTTATTAGCAGTAAGCTATGTTTTTTAAATTAAAAATACTTTAAATAATAGAAACTCATGACGTTTAACATTCAGGGTATACTGCAAATTTAAAATCGCTGTTTCGTCAAGTCAATGTATCGCGTGTTTGTATATCGCCAAATCTCCGCGAATTTTTCTGCCCATGAAATGCAGTCTAAACTATTTGGAATAATACATTCGGAAAATGTTTTTCAAAAAAAACATTCGGAAAAAATAATTCAGAAAGAAAGTCGTTCGGAAAATAAACATTCGAAATATTGTTGTCGGAAAAATGTCTGGTAACGATATACTAGATAAGATAGTTATGACATGATTATTAAAATCATTGGTTATTTTTATCATTTTAAACTAAGAGGATATGTTTTTGGTTAATTTTACATAAAAGTGAAATAAACAATAGATATAAGTGCTAATAGCAGACGATGAAAAGAAGAGAATTAAGTTTCTGAGTTAAACCTATTTATGGTCATTTTTAAAAATTTTACAAAATATCACCTGGTAAAGAAAATTCGGTTCACTGATTGATTTGGTACATTTTATTATATTAAGTGAATTATGAAATATTTTACAGACTATATTCGTAGTCCATCAACTATTTAAATGATTTTAGATTTTTCATGAAAAAATGTGGTCTTTCTTGAGAACATATACCCCCGAATGTTGAATTAATTTATTATATAGCAGATTCGTATTTTATTTTCCGGACTTAATTTTAAGTAATTTTTTAAGAGACAATTATTATTTTTAACTTATATACAAAATTAAGAAAAAATGTGTTACAATAAGTATTTTAAGATCCATCTGTGGTATTGGCTTTTAAAATTTTTTTAAAGAATGACAGGCAGAACAAAATTTATATCAACAAAGGGTACAATTGTTCTCTTGGTATTTCGTTTACAGTTAAACTTACATTATACTAAATATCATGATATTATAAACTTTACAAAATAAAGTCTAATTTCACAAGACTTGGTGTACAAATTAATGACATCTTTAATGGGATCATCGAATTTAAATATTTTGTTTTGAAAATTGTACGGAAATATGTCTTTCTTATATTCAAATATATTTTAGAATCATAAGCTAAATTCGTATGAAGAGTGTTAATGTATTTTTTAAAATACATGTACAGTCGAAACATAATTTTTGTATTTGAATAATAATTACTATTAGTATTTTAATTATCCGGGAAGAGTTGTTTGAAAGAGAACGGCCTGACTATACTGTTTGCAATTTCGAGAAAGGCATCAGACAACGCTTTTTCTATTAATGGTTGCAGTTCTCTTATAAACGATTCAAAATTATTGTTAATTGCGTTATTAACAACTTCACCAAGAACAGGATCTCCACCAAAAAGATTGTCAAGATGAAGTGTTCCTTTAGTAATTGAGAGCTTTAGCCGAAAGTCAGATATCTCAATATGATCTAAACCAGTAGTTGGATTTTTTACCATGTTAGTCTTAATTCTGACAACAGCACCTACATCCGTAACATTTGCCCTCATTGGTCCTGCGCCTTGAATAGGCAGTAATAAAATTCTACCATTAATTGCATACTGTCCTTCAATGTTTAAATTAGGTAGTTCCAGATCAACGCCAATTCGAATGTCATTGGGATCTATTCTGTAATAAAAATAAAAGTTAAAATTTTATTTTATCAGGCTTTCAATTATAAAAAATGTTATTGCTTAGATGTAATAGTTCAAATTCATACAAGTAGAACTAAAAAGATTTTGTCAGAAATATTTGTTGATTTTAAAGTGCTTTTCCTTCAATAGATCTTCAATTATTATTGGAAAAACTATAAGCACATTGAGTTTGATTACAATAATTATTATAAACATAATACGAGACTTTATTCTAAAGAAAAATATGTGTTAAGTTAAAACTAGTAAAAGTCAATCAGTAGCGTTGACAATGTCTAGGGGTATCATTCAAGGAAATGTTCTTAGACCGCTATTATTTTTACTGTTTATATGTGATCAGAAAAATGTCTTGAAGAGAGAGAGAGAGAGAGAGAGAGAGAGAGTTGTAGGGGAATTATTATTATTAAAATGATAGTATTATTTCTGTTGGTATATGCGAATGATCTGGTAGTTTTTGTGGATACTCTAAACTGACTGGATCCAATGAAAATTATAGGTGATTGGACCATAAAATGCTCCGGACTACTCCTGGGGCATCTGACAAAAACACGCAGTATAAAGGTATTTAAATTGAAGATAAACCAATTAAATAAAAGGTGCTCAATCTAACTACCTTGGTCTACTTCTTTTTGATTCTTTCTCATTTACAAGTATTAATTATTCAGGTTAATGGTTAACTAATGCATGCTCAACATATGAAAAACATTTTAAGAGCTTTTGCTAAAAGTATGTTTTTACATGGGGATTTAATTTATTAGAAAATTTAGAACAAATCTATAAATTTTAAAAAATGAATCCCAAATAAATAATTATTTTAGTCATTTTTATAGGATTAAGCTTTGTGCAAATTTGAGCCCAATACAAAAGATAAAATAATTTAAAGTTTGATCAATCTAGAAAGTTCGACCTAAGTCAAGAAATCTATATGTATTTATATATATCAAAGATGTGAATTAAAAGATGAGAGTTTCAGGATGTGCTATATCATTATTATAGGTTAAGTGCTGCTTATTGCTAGATAATTATTATGTATTGTAACAAAGCCGTACAGCATGTTTTAATATCTTTAGTATTACATTTGAGAGAAGCGGAAGTAGTCATCTAATATAGTTAGAGTAATTCAAGAAGTGATAGTATTTAAGATGAAATTGTAACCTTGTATATGTACAACACTAATTTTACATTGATACGCTGTATTTACTTAACTACTCTTAATGAATTACCAATTATTAAGAAAAGACATTTAGAGTTTTTTTTAAACTTCTATTAATTTAAAAAGAGAGTACCTCCAAAAAATGGTATAGTAATGATTATTTTAAGAGAAAAGAGTTATATACGCGGAGAATTATAATTTCAGTTAATTAGCATGCAGTATAACAAAGCTGTTAATTATAAAAATTTAAATCTATTTGACAGTTAAAATTTTATCTGACTGTAATATTATACGAGCAACAGAGATGGACGAGGTTTGGAATTCTTTTTATAAGAACCTAAAATAGAGTAAGATTCTTTTCTACTTTTATAATTTTCACAAATTTTTACATACTCAATTGATAACGGAGAAGTGGCGCAAAAATTGTCATTCATGATTTGTAAAAAGATTTCATAAAATGACCCAGAAGACTAGAGACCGATTTTACTAGAAAATAGTACTGCTACATAGGTTTAAATCCCCTCTTTGCTTTTATCATAAAAATTGTCTTAGACATAACAAAATGTTTTGTAGCCTAAGTCTGGAAAAAGATTAGCTAATGCTGATTCTAAAAGATTTTTTTCTTTTGTATTCGGCACAGAAGATATTAAAGTAGGAAGGAAGTTTACTTATTTGTCAATTATTATTCATTCTGATTCTAAATTAATTTTCTTGTGGTATTCAGGAAGGTCAGTGTTCCGAATCTTGTAATTAATAGTCTTGTGAAAATCGTTTACTCATCAAAGTCGTACTTTTGGATTACTTATACTAAAGTTTTTCGGAGTGCTACTTTAATAATCCTGCAGAAAAACTATTATAATGTGAATTGAATATGCATCACCACGTGTTGGAATAAGTTGCAGTACTTACTTTAATTTTTTTATTTTAAAGGAACTCGCTCCAAACACTTTAACATTTTTCACAGATATCTTCATGCCAGTTCCCTGAGAAGCTGTCAACTCTTTTAATAAAAGTGGTTCTAAACTTGGAATGTTGTGATCAGGAACTCCCGTCTTCAAATATGGTCTGAGGGCTTCCACGCTTTTTCTCACACATAATTCCAAGTTAGGATCATTTCTTTTGCAAATATTTAAAAATTCCGCTGAAAATATAGTGCATTATTTGTTACTTTTCTCAAAGAACGAAATTATTTAATTATATAGTTTTCATCGATTTTCATTTTAAAAAAGAATGTTTAATTAATAAAAATATCTTTTTTAAATTTATGTGTTAAAATAACATAAAATTTTTATCAAATAATTTTTGTCTAAAGAAATTTATCACATTTGATGTATTTATGTCTGAGGGTTATCCACAATGATTCAACCCTTTAAGGTACGAATTAATTATCGTAATAATAATTCCTCATCATATATAATTTCTAAAGTTTTTGGGTCGCTCATTACGAATATAATGTCTGTTTTTAAAAATTTAAGATTTCAATTGAAACTCGTTATTCAGATATTTTCGAGATCGCTTTTTAAAAAATTAAGTCTGTTTATTTAAGGTTCCGTACACGGTTCAGAACACTATTAATATCGGTTTTTTTGAAATCTTTTGACATAGAGAGCTCTAATTTGGTACACTTATTTATTTTTATGTAAAAATTACAGGAAAAATATAGCGAACTTGATTCGGATCAATTTACATAGCCAGACAGTTCATATTTCGATGGCTGGGCGTAAAAACATGATATCTCGAATTGGCGTTGAAAAACATGATATCTCAGATTAGCGTTGGAAAACATGACATATCGTCGTTTGATTTGAAGAACATGACACGTCGAAAACTAAATTTTTCTTTTCAAATTTCTGTTGGTACCACTGACCGCGAAATTTAAAATGGTTTGTTATATTACATTTTTTAAGAATATAATATGATGATATTAAAATAATAGAAGTAAAATCTTGCAATATACACATATAATTTTGAATATTTTACATGAAATTTGTTTTAAATCAACGGGATTACAATACAAAACACAAAATTATATAGCTTTATGTTTTTTATTTAATATTAATTTCTTTTCTGAAAAATAGTATCTCAAATAACAAAAATAACTTAAAACTCACTAACTGTATTTGCAAAAGCTATAATTAAAAAAAAATTTGAACGTAAATCATTTTACAAATCTAGATCTGTAATTAAAAAATTTGGTTCACAGAGATTTATTTATTTACTTGATATTTGTTTTTTGTCTTTGTTTTCTAGGTTAACAATTTTGTAACCTTTTTCATTAGAAATAATTTCTGTATTTAAGTGGTCGTCTGTATTATTAATTACTTTTACAGCTGTATAAGATAACGTCATGGGTGGCAAATCCTCCAGGAAATGAATAATTGGAGGGTTTACTAGAAAAAATTTACCTAAGTTAATTTAATTTATTTAATAATTGTGTTTTAAAAAATATACTTTACTTACTCTCCATGATTGACTCTTTAAACAAATATTTAAACAACATCAATTGTAATAGAATATTTACAATATAAATATTTAAAATAAAATAGAATTATTTATAAAATCACAGATTTTTTCAATCTAAATATAAACTTTATAAAAAGCTATTTAACCTAATTTTTCTTTAAACTGACATATTATGTAGCAAAATCATTTGTTTCATAAAACAGTTTCAAAGATTTGACACATTTTAAATTTCGCGGTCAGTGGTACCAACAGAAATTTGAAAAAAAAATTGGTTTTCGACGTGTAATGTTCTTCAAATCAAACGACGATTTATCATGTTTTCCGACGCTAATCCGACGTATCATGTTTTTCAACGCCAATTCGATGTATCATGTTTTTACACCCAGCCATCGTATTTATATCTCCTTTGCCATAAATTGACCTATTTAATTTACACACTTGATCATCCTCATTGTGTATGCCATCGGGCACCTCCATATAGATGTCTTTTTTTAAAATGCCATTCAAAAAAACAGTTTTGACATCCATATGGTGGATTTCCAAATCAAATTGATTAGCAAAAGCTAATAATAACCGGAAGGAAGAGATCCTTGCTACAGGAGCAAAAGTCTCTTTATAATCCGACAAATATTCTTGTCGAAAACCCCTGGCTACAAGACGAGCTTTATAACGAAAAGGATTTCCCGTTTCATCATTTTTTATTGAAAAAACCCATTTGCAAGTTATTATATTTTTATTTAAAGGTCTAGGGACAAGTGACCAAGATTGCATAGTTTTTAGAGTCTAATTCTTCTTCTATTGCTTTTTCCCATTTGCAACGATCATTCATATTTTTAACATCTTGAAAAGATTTAGGAATTTCTACAGTGGGGTTTGCATTAAGAAGATAGATGTTAGAATCTTCTTCATCACTTTCATTATCATACTAGGATATTTTAGGTCGTTTTTTAAGTCTTTCGCTTCTCCTAATTTTGGGATTTTCATTAGGTTCATCGGGCTTATTTTGATTTGAAGTTAGGATTTCTTTATTTATATCTGCTTCAGAACAATCAGATTTTGTTAAGGGTGTTTCAGAGACTCCCGCTTTGGATAAGTCGGGATTGTTTGTTTCTGACAACATTGAGGAATTTGACTGTCAATTTATGTTTTCTATTTAAAATAGATTCATTTCCTAATTGGGATTTCATAGGAATGTTATTGACTTGAGTCATTTCCTCTTCAATTAATAAAGGAGGTCTAGTGACTCTAGATAGACATTGAATCTTAGAAAGTAAGAGGGCCATAAAAGACCCTAATAAACATTGGGTTTCTCCAAGTACACCATTTTTGTACCTGCATTCAAATACGCAGTTCAACATACAGTAACTTTACGAGAAGCTTACCACAACCTTACCATGTAAACTCACTACGACCTCATTGTGTAAGCTTACCATAGCTTTACTGTGTAAGCTTACTACTCTCTAAATTTGAACCAGCGAATTTTCGCTGATTCTCAGCTATAAGTATACAACTGATTCCAATCAGCGTATATACACTGCTGAATTAGTGAAATTTCACTGATTTTGCAGCGTATATACGCTAATTGAAATCAGTTGGAAGTTTTAAGATGACCTCAAGTTTACTGTAGGCTTACATGGTTGATCCAAAGTTTATTGGGAAGGGAATTTCATAAGGATTTGATAACCGTTTAAAAATTTCGTGGATCGCAATTAGCAAAAAAGTTATCGCGTTTTTTGTACGGCGCTGCGTGTCTCTAGCACTAGCACGCAGAATGTATTTTTCTCAAAAAGTATGGAAACTTGAAAATATCTTGAAAAGTACGAATTTTTATAAAAAATGTTCAAGACAAAAGTTGTTCCTAACAAAAGATCTACGAGTGTGAACCCAAAATATTGGTTGTTTTTGTTAAATAAAATCCTCTAATTTTCAGAATCAAATTCGTAATCCTTATGAAATTATATGTTTTAACGTGTGCAGTATATGACCAAAATATTGGACTGAGGAATTTTACATTGGGTTCTAGGCATAATTCGAAAATTAGCTTCGAATTTCTAATAAACTACTCCAACAACCCCATAAACAACGATTTTTTTAAATTCTCTTATTTGAAGAAAAATATTGGGCCCAATGTCTAGGATTCTATATAACAAAATTCGGATAAGTGAAACTTCGGTCAAATAAAGTATTTATGAATTAAAAATTCTTTGTCTAAAAAATTTAGATAAGTAGAGTTTCTGTTAAATGACAATTCTATTAAATAAAAATTAAATATAAAGAAATTTTATATAATAAAAGTTATGTTAAATAGGAATTTTTTTATATAGTAATTCTTTTAATTGGAATTTCTGTTAAGAGCATTTGAACCTTCGTGACGTCACAAATCATGGCGCATGACACGCAAACTTCTCAGGTATGTGAAAAGCACAATTTTGAATAGTTCTTAAAAAAACCTTTTGGAAAATGTTCAGAATAACACAGACTCTGTCTGTTATGTGCGAAAAATTCAAAATTTTGCGTTTAAAACGTTTTTTAAACAATGTTTCCGAAAGGTTTTTTTAAAAACTATTCAAAATTGTGCTTTTCACATACCTGAGAAGTTTGCGTGTCATGCGCCATGATTTGTGACGTCACGAAGGTTCAAATGCTCTTAATAAAAATACTTTTAAGTGAATATTTGGATAAATAGAAATTTGACAAAAGAACAATTTTGATAAATAAAAATTCTTCTGTATGAAAATTATTCTAGACATAAAATTTATTAAATGGCAATTGTATTATTTGAAAATTGGATATATTATAAAATCTTTATTTAATATTAAAGTTTAATTAAATAAAAATTCTATAAAATAAGAATTTTTTTAAATAGATAATTTTTGATATTAAAATTAGGCTCATTGTAAAATCTACTTTATTAAAATTCTACTAAATGTAAATTCGATAATTTTTAATTCGACACAACAAAAATTCCGGCCAATAATTTAGGGAATATTCATTCGTCCCCATTTTTAAACCAATAAAATTGGGCACAGGGCCCAATGTGAGGCCTTATAGCGAAAAAAGTAGTCTTTTGAAATGAGAACACTTTTATTGTATATAAAAATCGTAATCCTCGTAAAATTCTACGTTCACACATGTGGTAAAAATGCACAAAATATTAGGCCCAATCCTAGACATTAGGCCCAACATTTTTCTTCAAATAAGTGAATTTAAAAAAAAATCACGGCTTATGGAGTTTTTGGGGTAACATATTAGAAATTCGAAGCTAATTTTCGAATTAGGCCTAGAACCCAATATAAGATTCCTCAGTCTATTATTTTGGTCATATACTTCACACGTTAAAACACATAATTTCATAGGGATTACGAATTTGATTCTGAAAATTAGAGGATTTTATTTAACAAAAACAACCAATGTTTTGGGTTCACAAATGTAGATCTTTTTGTTAGAAACAACTTTTGTCTTGAACATTTTTTATAAAAATTCGTACTTTTCAAGATATTTTTAAGTTTCCATACTTTTTGAGCAAAATACATTCTGCGTGCTAGTGCTAGAGATCCACGAAATTTTAAAACGGTTTTCAAATCCTTATGAAATTCCCTTTCCAATAAACTTTGGATCAACTTTCTACGACAAGGAAAGAAAGTTGATCCAAAGTTTATTGGAAAGGGAATTTCATAA